CGCTGCTGGTGATGAGCCACGATGTAGCTACAGCTGCCCTGGGAGGGTAAGGCCCAGGCAAGGTGGGTTTAGTGTCTTCGCCAAGGACACACCAGCGACGGACTAAGCGGGGCTCGAACCTGCAACCTTCTGATTACTGGACGAGCACATTACTGCTGTGCCACCTTCGCTCTATACTAAAATAAGGATTACACATTTCAACAAGCCACATCTGACACAACTCCTTTACATCAAACCAGTATTTATCATTATATTTATGCTGAAGGGACATAAAGGGATGTGGACAAAATAAAGCCAAAGGCTCACTTTAGCTCCACTTCTTGGATTTGTTTACGTTAGCTCCGGCTAAAAGCAGGAACCTTTGTTTGCATAACACTCCTCCAGCTTAAACCCATGGAAACAGTTTTTAGGGTTAGACACCCCCCCCCCCAATAGGAGTTAGACTAGACCCTTTAAAGTCAGTCCTGTAAAATGTTGGTGGTTGCTAACTTGGTTTAACCCTAACAGCTGCCTTTAGTTCAGAAGGGACATTTACATTTGAGTCCTAGATCAGCACTAACTGTCCAGGACAGCAGTGAAGCTGCAGAGCTATGAACTTAAGTAGACTCAACATCTAATAGGACTTGTGTACACGTGTGTTATTACACTAAAAACATCTCAGCCTGTGCCGGCTCTGTGGACAGCGCTGCAGGGTTTGTAAACACGCGCTGTGGGACAATCACCATCACTGAATGTGCTTCTTTTTCGGCCCCTCTGTGATGACTGGGACAGGGTTCAGTGTTTGTTTAGTTTCTAATGGATGAATAAAACATTAAACTAGGTAATTATGTCAGAAGAGTACATTTGTATGATGAATTGAGGGCACCGGTTAAGCCTGGTTATTTCAGCACCTCCAGACCAGCGACACGTCCTGGTTCTACTCCTGTGAAGCCCAGTGTGGCGTTGCCTGTCTCTGCCCCTCCCCCTACCTGTCTCCCTTCCTCCCCCTTCTTTTTTCTAATTCCTCTCAGCCTGCTCGACTCCTCCTCGCTGCATAATCACATGGTGCTAATACTTTCACTTCCGGAGGCTGCTAACGCGTGTGGGCTTTTGTTTTTGTCAGTAAACCAGAAGCAACACTCGACCCATCAGTAACGACTCGAGTTCAGCAGAAGAAGAGGAAACAACTTTATTTGAATGTTGTTGCTCTGGAGAAGTCTTTGGACAGAAAGAAGGAAGGACGGGTGCTTCCGTTTGTCATTGTCTTTAAATTATTCAGCTGCATCTTTTGCTCCGTATCAGCTCTGGGTTTGGACCTGATGTGATCAGTGGCCTGTCGTGTGGGATCTCTCGCTCTCACAGCTTGTAACTCACCCCATGTGGTTATGAGTCGTGTAATTTAATGGAATATTACAGCTAGTTCTAAATGGATTCTGTTATTGATTTATATTAGCTCTTAACTATTAGTTTAATAATAATTATAATAATAATTATTGTTATTATTATGGAGAATCTGCATGATTATTTTTTAAATATCATAATGAAATAAACATCTGCCTAGAAACACTTGTCATGTCCTATTGCTGCATGTAATTCATGGTAGTTTAGAAAATACTTGAATACTTCCTTGTTTTAGACCAAAGATACAACATATTTTATTAACTCTCCAGGAAAAGCTGTTACTTAACAACAAATAGCAGGGATATAAGAAAATATTGATGCACTGAAATATCCCATTGTTTGTGTTGTGATACTGAAACAATATAAAAACCTGTGTCTGTTTTGATTGAGAATTCAGTGTTCCCCTAGAAAATGTTCCAGCCTGAGTCTATGTAGGGAAAACAATGCCATTTACAAACATTACTTGTCTGTTGCAATCCAAACTCTGACAGATAGGTGGCAGCGGTTTTTACTGCCTTCGTTCTTACGGAAGAACGCGATCGCACCTATAGTATCGTCTGACTTTGAGCATCGTGTCTAGGGTTGTGACATCTTAGGAACCTCGCGATTTGATTTCGATTTGGGATCCAACGATCCGATTAACGATTACCACGATTTTTGACGCATTTTTGTCATCGTTTAGGTGTTTTCTTACTTCATGGCTTTTTCATATTTTCGAAATAATTCAGCATGCGTTAATTCAAGTTACCAAATACCTTTTACTCCACTATCCTCATCCTTCGTGTAAGTCTGAACACGTACCCTACGTACATTTGTCTGAAATCTACAGAATAAACGAGAATAATGAAAATGGAAGTAAACGCGGGCAGTCAGTTTGACTTTTGTAAACAGAAACTGAGCTGAGACAACAAACTGAAGCGATGCGGAGATGCAGGAGCTTCTGGTATTTAGATCTGAAGTTTAGATCAGAGAGCTCACCGGGATTGTGCAGAACAGACACCTTTTGGAGCAGCTTGTGAAAAAACTTAAGGTACGTTGCTTCAGCCGGCATTAAAAAATTTTGTTCAAGCTAGAAGGAATTCTGTGGCGGCATTGAGATGGCCCCCACACCCCCTTTTTGCCGCCATCGTTTACTCAGAGTCAAAAGGGTTGCCATATGTGTGAGAATCACATCATTAGGAAATTGCTGCGGAAAGATAAAAATAAGACATAAGCCAGTATAGGAAGTAAGAATATTATTATGATGAAATAATACAAAGTGGCGTAATTTGAGAAACTGCTACAGTGTAGGTGCTAATCAGAGCGGATCAGTTTAGGTACAAACACAACACCGGGTCATGTGACTGGAACCAAGCAACCGGCATGATGACGCAGGGGGTGAGGGGTATACGTAAAAGATTCCCGGTGTAACTGCCTCTAAATCGGTTTTACGAACAAGGCTAGCCTGAAACTACTCTCATTCACCATGGTAACGCATGCTGGAGGACAAACCTGCTGCGCGGCAGGCTAGCAGCTAGGCTTACAGACGCTTTGTGAATGTGATTGGACAAGGCAAGTATTTTTTAAAAACAGCTCATGGTCTCTATTTTAGTTCTGATATCGTTGTAGTCCTCGTAGACCTGAAAGAATAATTATTGCTCCGTCTGGATGAAGAATGAGGCTCTGTCCTTTACTTCCATTCCCATTTATCGAGCACCGATTAACGGGGCTGCCTGTGGATGCGCGTGAGCCTTGATTGCTGATAGAGGATTGAGTCAACCCTAGAATCTTTTGTGGAGCTGGCGAAACCGGGAGGGGAGAGCTTTGTCAAGCAGGGATTTATCAGGAGATCCTTGATGTTCTAAACTCGCTTTCTGGAATACCCTCTGGACGCTGGCAAACAACAACAAAATTGAGCACATCCTGTTTACAACGTGGAGTGACAGCAGGAAGGGCCAGTCACACGTTAGCAAGTAGCAGAGCCAATAGATGAGCTTATGGACGGTTCTACTGGGAAACGGGCTTCAACCCAAGCGGTTGTTTTCCACTTGGTCCTAGAGCTCAACCAGTGCCTGTTTAATATAGCCTAATTTTGTTTTTGGGTGGGAAAAAGTGCAGGCGACAAAACTTGACTTTGGAAATTACGTTCATGAGCGTGCCACACAGCGATTGAGGAGGTGAGGATGGACTTGATGATTGCGGTGTAGAACTTCCTCCCAGACTTTGCTGGCAGGTTGAAATTCTTCAGCTGTCTCAGGAAGTTCATCCTCTGCTGGGCCTTGTTTTTGATGGAGGTGATGGTGGTCTCCCACTTGAGGTCTTGGGCGATGGTGGTGCCCCGGAAGCGACACGAGTCCACCATCGTGATGGGAGTGTCAGAAAAGGTTATGGGGGGAGGGGGGCTGTGTGCTTCCTAAAGTTCACAACCAATCCTTTAATGCCAAAATGATTGACCACTCGTAAATGACCAAATGCTCCCTGGTGCTGCCTCAGCGTTGCAGCAACGTAACGCTGTAGTTTTATGAAAGAGGCTGGAGTTGTGGACAAGGTTCATGACCACGGCAACATTACAAACTCACCATCCCACTTTTGAAACTCTAAAGATACAGGAAACGTTACTTTTTTATCACTAAGTGCTAAATTAGCATTAGCCATCGCTAACAGTTTGGCCTGAACTTCCTGAAGGTGATTTTTTAAATCTCATGAGCCCTGATGTTTCCCAGTAGCAGCAGTGAGTACGTTTACATGCAGCCAATATCCGGGTTATGATCGGGTTAAGGTCGGGATTCAGGTTTCTGAGTTGATCAGAATAACCCGTTTACAAGCATAAATAGAAAGAGTTACCTCTAACTTGCATAACCCGATTTAACTGCGGACGTTGGGGTAGCGTCAGGACGTATGGACTACGTCCAGATGCAATGTGCGTCATTTCCGGTTCTTCTTGTTCCGGTATCCGTGAAAACAACATGTTTCCCAGTTCGGAAGAGATAGCGACCGCGTTTGTTTGCGCTTTAGTTTCCTCGTCACTCCAAAAGTGTGGTGCTGTGCCGCGACTCGCCATGTTGCTCCCAACTTGTTGTTTACTTCCGGTGTTCTGGCGCATACAAGACGTCTCGCTACTCAAAAGACCAAGATTCCTTGCGAACAGAGCATGCGCAGAACACACGCTTTGATGGGGATATCCCGATTTGCGTTTACACGACCAAACATTCGGGTTAGAAAAGGGTTACCCCAGGTGTAGTAACCAGGTTTTAAAAACCCGGTTATGAGCATATCCGGGTTTTTGGCGGTGTTTACAAGGACCTGCGGAACCGGGTTCTTGTGAATATTCGGGTTTTAAAAGGGTTACTGGCTGCATGTAAACGCACTGAGTGTGAGGTCCAGGGACACTGATAAAGCCCATATGTAAATAGGGTGGACGGCAGGCCACATTTCCAGGAAAGGGAAATGATGACGCTGTGGAACAGGCTGAGGGGAGAGCACAAACAGGATGCTATCTGCTGCCACTTCCTGTGCAATTTTAGAATTGAGATGTTTTCCCATGAATCTCTAAAAGGGTAAATATCTATGAGCTAATGCTATTTCCATAGGAAACATCCAGACATTTGCATAGAGCCATAACCTGTTCTTTCTGTTCTCAGGAGATGTTGAGGCACTGAGACGTGGCTGAGGCCCTGGATGGAGTTTAAGTGGAGAAGTGCTGGTGAGTGTGCAGTAAATATCAGAAATGGGTCACACTGTTTGAATCACTGAAGACCCAGAACATCTACGTTTACCTGAGTGTGTGTTCCCTCTCAGCTGTAGCGGCATGCAGGAACCCGGCTGTGGGTTTAGTGGCTGCTTCTCATCATCTCACACTCGTTTTCACATCTCTGTCATTTCTAACCTTCAGCCAACCTGTTTACCACAACAACGTCTATTTAATTAGAGTTTAATCAGCAGTGATCGAAACGGTTCTGGAAAATAACCACATGTCTACCATGTTTTCATTGTTTCATAGCTGTTGTTAACACAGACGAGTCTGAGTGAGACACCAAGTCTTGATTCCAGGGGAGACCTGTTGGGCGATCATTAAAAATAAGTACATACAGTATCTGTAGAATCAGGCAGAGATCCAGCTCCTCGGAGATCCAACAAGAGGAGTGGGCGGCGCCGCGCACCTGTCAGATCTCGATCTCCGCGGCGTGAGACAGAGCCACTCCCTACTCCAAAATGCATGTACATCATTGCCAAATTAATAAAATAAGTATAAATTCAGATAGTCCAGGTTGTCCTGAAAAAAATGATACCCCATAAGGCAATATTTAGTGTTTTTATTAGAAAATACAAAAGAAAAACCAAAATGAGTCAAAAATGGTGATTTACACCCTGGACCCCAGAGGGCTAATAATTTTAAATTGTTATTTGCTATATTTATTCATATTTTTTATTAATGTACAGTCTAGATTACCATTCTAAATAATTAAAAACATTCGTCATAAATGTTTGTTGGTTTCACAGTAAAATAAACAACTTTTTTCCAATTTGGATTTTATGTTTTTGAGTGATTTACGGTCTAATATGCAACCCCTTTATGTCCAAATATAAAAAATAAGTATAAATTCATAAAGTCCAGGTTGTGCTGAAAAGATTGATACACATAAGGCAGTGGTTATGGATTTTATTTTGGAAGTACAAAGGAAACCCCTAAATTAGTCAAAAACAGCAAATTACACCCTGGACCCCAGAGGGTTAGATCAGAGTGCAAGGTAGGGCAGATTAAAACCAAATACCTGAGTTACTCTGATCTAGAGCTTGATTTTTATATTTCTAACCTGACATGTTCTCAGAAAGGCTTCCAGCAGCTGGTTTGTCTGTTTCAGGATGTAAGTCTGACCGAGGGCTGATGTCATCTTTCTGTACTGCTGCAGAGGTGAGCCTTAGGACAGACAGCAGGAAGGAGAAGAGGGCGGGCAGCCAGGGTCATGGCCGGAGCACGACCAGCAGATTTAGAGAGAGGTGCTGAAAGGCAGACGGACAAGAAGCATGCTATGCAGATTTATAGCTGAGAGTCTGAGACACGGCTCCTGTAGCAGTCGTATAGGTGACTGGGATACACGTCTTGTGTTTACAGCACCAGCTGCACAATGGTTCCCCTTCGTTCTACAGCTCTCCCCTCTGGAATGAGCTTGTCGCGAGCATTTGTGTGCAAACACAAAGCCCAGGCTGAGGTGGGGGTAGAACCCTCTGGCTGCACCGCCTCACGTTACAGATCTGTGCTTTTTGCTGGGTGGGGATAGGAAACAGCAGCGACCTCAGAAGCTGGCTACAGGGGTTTCCTGTGATGTGAACTCAGGGGTCAGACACGGGGCAAAGCCAGAGCAGCAGCACCAGAGCTCAGCATCCACAAGGGAGAGAGGGGAAGATTGTAAGGGTGAAGTAGAAGGTAGAATTCAAAGATACATTATTAATCCCAGAGGGGAAGAAGGAACAGATGTAAGTGAGTATGGAGAGTGAAGATAATGTGGTGGGGGTGGTAATCTGTGGGGCTTGCCTGGATGGTTTCGTGGCTCTGCGAGCGTGCATGTAGGAGAAAAGAGGCGGTTTGGTGAACCCCATGGAACTGCAGATACTAGCATTCTTCTTCTCACAGACTGTGCAGCGACATGCCCGAGCGTGCACGTGTCTGTGAGCGTCTGCCGCTAACACAACAGTAGCGCTGTAGCGGGTAGGCTGGCAGAACGCAGGATGACCCGTCTCCTCCCAGGCTTCAGATCACTGCATCATCATCATCAGTCCCTCCTCACAGCAGAGCAGAAGAGGTTTCACTCGCCCAGCGTAGAGCAGAGAGAGGGAGGCAGTGTTGATGCTGACGAGAAATATTCATTTTAGTCACAATTTAGGTGTCCACTTTGTTTTAGTGTTAGTCTTATTTTAGTCGACTAAAATATGTGTTTTTCTTCTGATGCAATCATTTTCAGCTTGTGTAAAGAAAACACTTGAAACTGCAAAGAAATGAAAACTTCACATTTCACACTTTGCATCAATAAAACTCTATTTTCATGTTTTATTAACAATAATTATGGGAAATAAAATACCACTAAAGGTAAGAATTGATTTCAGGCATCTCTGTTAGAGTTTTCCCTGCACCACTTTACCAAGGTGGGCCAAAGCACCGCTAGAACACCGAACGCTCGTGGTGATCGTGTCGGTCGTAGCAGTGCCAGGAGAAAAAACCATTAAATGACCATTTGCTGCTTTATCAGTTCGGTTTGGTTTCTTCTACTCACTAAATAACGACTTCTCTGATCATCACATCTACTGCTTTCCCTCCGAGCCGTGGACATTTTCTTCCATTAGACATAAATGTTACCGGCACCTTGTTCAAACGGTGGCCGGTGTCTGTGCAGGATCGGCTCGGGGTCCTTCGACTGCCGATGACGTCACATGACTGCAAATCTACTCGGCTTTCACACACACGTTTTGGAAAGACATCAGCAGTTTTGTTAATAAATTCTTGTTTGTTAACACCTAAATGTTTTCTTTATAATTGTAATTTGTTAATAAAACACCATATTATCTTTGTTTAGTAAAGAATGTGAAACTGCATAAAACCAACATCGGACTGACAAAAAGGAGAACAGTTCTTACATGTGAGGCCACATCTGTTTGTATTAATGTGGAGTTCATCCGTATATTTCCTTAGTTGTTATCTAAATATATTCTTTGACTCAAAATATTGCTTGGTGTCTTCCAGTAAAGTTCTTATATTTTATTTTGCCCCATTTCATCAACATCAAGAGCTTTTGAGGGTCACCGTTTATCATTTGCTTATATTTTACATTTCCTTTAGAAATTCAAAACATATTTTCTCCAATAAGTGTTGATTTTTGGATTACATGACTACAACCGCTAAGACTACGACCGCAAATGTGTTCTGACCAATCAAAATCATAACGTGATTACGTCACTTCTGTAAGCTTCATGTTCAGCCAATCAACTACTTTGACGTCATCGGCAGTCGAAGGACCCCGAGCCGATCCTGCACCCGAGCCGATCCTGTACCGACACCGGCTCCGGATTCTGATTGGTTCTTTTCTCGCCTTGTCCCACCTGTTCCATTAGCTGACTGGATTTTTGTCACTGTCAATTTTCATTGTTTATTTGTCGATTAAAGTATTGATCAGTATTCATAATTTAGTCTTTATAGATGTAAAGTGTTTGGTTTTAGTCTGCAAAAATTCATGTTTCATGAAAAAAATAGAAAATATTTAGTCGAAGAAACTGGAGAGATACTTCTGGACTGTCTACAAACTAACGTTCCTACCAAACTCGCCTGGTCTGCAGCCATGACATTCTGACTGCAGACTCTAATCCACACACAGCCTTTGGTTAAATTGCAGCACACAGTTGGATGAAGACGAAGCACCGCTCTGATCCCGCTGTGTGCCCATGGCTCCCTACAGGTGCTGATATGTGCTGAAGATGAGCGGCGTAGGAGACAACTCGCTAGAGCTGCTGAGCTCCGATCGCAAGCGTAAACTGTCCACCTGTGACACACCGGGACTGGGGTGAGTGGGAACATTTCAGGTGTGTGTGTGTGTGTGTGTGTGTGTGTGTGTGTGTGTGTGTGTGTGTGTGTGTGTGTGTGTGTGTGTGTGTGTGTGTGTGTGTGTGTGTGTGTGTGTGTGTGTGTGTGTGTGTGTGTGTGAGAGAGAGAGAACTACTTCTATATTCTTTACTTCTCACCTTAGTGTTTCAAACACGCCTGCTGTCCTCAGACTGTCTGAGGCTTCTGTAGTGTCCGTGGTACAGAGGATGATGCATAGGGAGGTAAGGTCGTCATGGCAACATTTAATCCCCTTCGGCTCCCCAGCAGGTGTGACAAACGTCGGAGGGAGCAAGAGAGCAAGTATATCGAAGAGCTGGCTGAACTCATCTCCGCCAACCTTTCCAACATCGACAGCTTCAACGTCAAACCTGACAAATGCGCTATTCTCAAAGAGACCGTGAGGCAGATCCGACAGATCAAAGAGCAAGGTGACTCCACACGCACGCACACACACACACACACACACACACACACACACCTCTACAACTCCCATTTGATTCCACCCCTGTTCTTGGAAACGGGACACACTGAAGAATAAAGTTAGCTTTTTGAAGCGGCCTGCTTCAGCCTTGCACTGGTTCTTTGTGGGAACAACAGCCAGTCAGGCCTGAGGGTGAACCAACACCTGTAATGCCTTTCTTGCTCATGGCGACATCAATAGTTTGTTTGTTTTGGGGTTTTGTGTCAAATAATCACAGAGGCAGCCATTTTTGTCTCCATTTGCCTGATTTAAAATAAAATCTGTCAGGATGCGTTGGGAAGAGGAGAGCAAGCGGATAGGAATCTACCCAGAGGGTTGTTGCCTTTTGCAGCCGGCTTACCATAGTTACAGGTTGGGATGATGACCTGCTTGTTGTCTCTTTGGCTCGCTCTTGCGTGCTGGATTCCCTCATCCCTACAGACATATTTGTTGTTATTAATCAGCTGCTTCCCGGCGTCAGGTTTAAACCCACTGATGTTCTCCTTCTTGTCTGCATGCAGCCTCGCCTTGCTGCTGGTGGCCCTGGTTCAAAGCTGCAGACATAAGGTCATCTAAAAAGAAAGGCATGCTAGCCGGGGCTTTTGGCTCCATCTGGTGGCCGGCACAAATACGTCACTAAATAGTTGAAAATGCACTTGTTGACTTGAAATGACTAACATGATGAGGAATAAGAATAAGTGTGCACAGGTATAAATGCTGTTTTTAATCTCACTGCATTGTGTTTCATTTGTTCTCAGGAAAGAACTCTTGCTATGACAATGATGTCCAAAATGCTGACGTGTCCTCCACTGGTCAGGTGGTCATTGACAAGGACCATCTGGGCCCGCTGCTCCTACAGGTCAGCATTAAACCCTCTGAGAGGACAGACCCTCCTGGTGCTGCACCAAAACCTCGCTGTTGTTTGTTTAACCACCTTTCAGAGCCATGGATGTGTGGTAATTCAGATTTCTCTGATTGCATTTACCTCCTCGGTGTTGGTGAAAACTTTTGAGCTACACCTGCCAAACTGGCGGCTGTGGGGGTGTCTCAGGTGGGACACTTTTCAACCGCGTAGGACAATGTCTTCTTGTGCTGCACATTTGTATCTATTTAACAGTGGCTATTGCAGTGACCTCTGACCTTTACATATTTACATATATTTATTACTACAATGATTTGTTGGAATAATAAAAAATATCAATGGGATTTTTATATTGCCGAATCCAATAATTACCGTATTTTCCAGACTATAGGTCGCACTTTTTTTTCATAGTCTGGCTGTTCCTGCGACTTATATACCAAAGTGACTTGTATACCAAATTATGTATACCGCGCTGCTGCGGGCCGACTCCGGCCCAGGCATGAGCTCCCCTGTCCCGCTGGGAGGGTTTGAAACACCACCATCCTCTGCTGGAGACCGTGGCGCGCTGCTGCGCCCGCGTTGTTTATTCTGGTATTGTTACCGGTGCTTGTCTTGCAATGTGAAACGCTTGGTCTCAGATTTTGTAAGAAAAATAATCAAATTTACCCCCCAATGCGACTTATAGTCCAGTGAGACTTAAGCTTGGTTTATGCTTGACGCATTTACTTTCCGCTTGGTGATGCGGCTCGCGGATGGAACGCGCTTCACAACTCGCAGCGTTTATGTTTCATGCGGCTTGTCTCTGCGGTGAGCCAATATTCTCCCAAACTGTAGGGGGCAGCATGGAGCTCTACGACATGCATCCAACACTACACCATAGTAGAAGTAAAAATCACTGTTGTTTACAACATGGCATTCCAGCATTTTTAACAGCGTCCTCGACTTTTCCGACAGTGCGAGCTATTTCTCTCCAAGAATTATTAACAACATGTTGATCACGGTGATCTCTGAGAGCTGAATCATACAAATGTCTGTATTTACCAACCTCTGCCATACTAGTTCTATAGCTCATACTAGCCTCGCCTCTGTCACTGTGCCGCAGGGCAGCTGTGGCTACATCGGTGTGTGAATGGATGAATGATACACTGTAGTCTAAAGCGCTTTGGAGTCCTTACTCTGAGAGGCGCTATACAAGTGCAGGTCATTTATCATTTAGTTCTTGCCAGTCCGCCATGTTTTTCCGCGTCCGACCGTCCGCGTGGTTAGAAACTTTCCTAGGTGCGCGGTGCGGAAAGTTTGGGCCGTGCGGAGGCGCGGTGGAGGGGCGTGGTTGTTGAAATGACGCAATTTCGCCGTGCGGACCTCGCGGACGCGTCAAGCATAAACCAACCTTTATACACCGGGAAATACGGTAAATGTCCTGGTCAGCTGATGGCCAGTTGTGCTACTGGTATTTTGGGCGGGCTTTCATGGTTGATTACTAGAAGTTTTCCTCCTCATTTTCGTGCTAAAGTGTCACCAGTAACAGACCACTGAGTTTACCTGGCTGGTAAATCTTCATTTCGTGCACTTCTCGGTGTTAAAATCAGACATCTAACTAAAGATAATCAAGCAAATTGGTAAACTGGCCATTATTAAAAATTCTAAACTGGTAAACTATTTGAAATTTTAGCTGAAAAAAAAAACGTTTTGAGCATTTTGTAAGCAGATATTATTCAGGGATAGTCCTGCAGCAGCAACAGGCTGAACGATGATGTGCCCTATCCGCTTTACTAAGGAGTGATATCGGCCCATGTTCATATATAGAAAAGAGTAACTATCGGCCCGATATGCCGGCTAACCGTTAAATCGATCTAGTCAGTCCCTCTGCTCAGGAAAATGTCACAAATCTAACCAGGTGGCACCTGTGCTCAGCAGCCTCACTTCAGTCAGTGTGCCCCTGGGCAGCTGTAGCCACAATGTAGCTCATGGCCAGTGTGTGGACGACTGATGTTGTGAAGCACCATGGGGGGCTGTAGAACCCTAAAAAATACAAATACAGACCATTTTACATCTGAAAGTACTCCAGAACACTTGAAGGGTATTGTTGGGTGTTCCTTATAGCTGTTACTGCTGGTGTGTGATTACATTTTTAGAGTTGCTGAGAGCTGTTGGCACAAACATCTCACCTCGCGCTTGTACCACAGCTTCTGGTGCCCACGCCCAGAAGAACGTGCTGCTTCAGCTGCAGGGTCGCTGAGGGTCTTCATGCATCATTTAAAAAATAACTATGACGTTTTACAGACTCCGTGCAAAATCAGCAGACCATCAGCGGTTTGTGGTTTTCAAGAACGTTTTTGCAAGTTTAGAGGAGAAGCATGGCATTCAACGTGCACGGTGCTCTTAAGTTTGACTGTCCAACATGTTTTCTCAGACATCTTCATAGGATCAAAACCACAGTTCAGTGTACAGAGGTTTGTTTCTAGATCTTGTGTGTGACGTGAGGCGATCTGAGGAGGTCAAACATCATCCAGAGTTTAACCGTACCGTGAGCTGTCTGCTGGTGAAATGGAGCCAAGTCGAGAAACCAGATCAAACCCATCGTTGATCTTCTTCTTTTCACTGATTGTTGTGGCTCTGCTGCCTGCAGGCGCTGGATGGCTTCCTGTTTGTGGTAAACCGTGAGGGCAGCATCGAGTTTGTGTCTGATAATGTGACACAGTACCTGCAGTACAAGCAGGAGGAGCTGTTCAACACCAGCGTGTACAACATCATCCATGAGGACGACAGAGAGGAGTTTCACATGAACCTGTCCAAGTCTAGTGGTGAGACACACACACACACACGCGCGCGCACGCACTCTCACACACACACACACACACACACGCACACACGCGCACGCACTCACACACACACACACGCACGCACGCACACACACACACACAGACACGCACGCACACACACACACACAGACACGCACGCACACACACACACACACACACACAGGACTGATCAGTCACAGAGGTATTCACCTGTTCACCGTGTTGTTTGAAGCACCAAACGGGGCACCATGGGGTGGAGACGTGCCTCGACAGAAGAGCCACACCTTCAGCTGTCGGATGCTGGTGAACCTTGGTCATGGTCAGAGTCACGGGTTGCCAGAAGAAAGAGTGGGGGGTCAGCGCTATGAGACCATGCAGTGTTTTGCTGTCACTCAGCCCCGGGCCATGATGGAGGAGGGAGATGGTAAAACTTAAACATGTTTACACACAACACCTGAGTGTTTTTCTTAACTAAGTCCGCTGATTTGTTCCGCCGGTTTGTTTTGTGCTCAGATCTACAGTCGTGTATGATCTGTGTGGCGCGGCGCATCACGGCCGTAGAGCGGACGGAGCGGTTCAGTCGCCATGACCTGACCTGTAAGTGTCTGCAGTTTCACTCCTAAAATGTTACAACCAACGAGGCTGTGGGTCCCATCTTGTCTGAAGGGGAGCTCTCCTGTCACACCTTTGAAACCCCCCCCCCCCTCAGTGTTCCACAGCTTCTGTAGCGGCTCAGTGTGTGTGAGCTGTGTTCATCAGGCCCTGAGCCGTGTGTGATGCCCTGAACCTGTTGGGTTCGCCAGCTGTGACTGAGGCTTTCATTCATACGGGCCGTTTGTGTTTTAGTCCGGGTGAAGAACTCTACAGTGAAATTATCACAAGGCAGTCTCAAGAACAGGAACAGGTTTCGTTCTCAGCTGGCTGGGGGGGGGGGGGGGGTTCAGTTGTTTCTCCTTTGGAAAAAAAGAAAAGAAAAACAGGAACGCAGTAACTGTTTGTAATCTGTGAGTCTGCAAGGTCGCTGAGTTTACATCGAGCTAACGCTGCAGCGCTATGACGTTTGTAACTGGACACCCCACAGATGACCCACAAGGTGTTTCTTGTACAAATGAAATGGTGACCTGTTGCAGGAAGTCATTACAGGTGCTGCTGCGTCGGCGTTTTAGCTCTTGGTTTATTAGACTAGGGTCTGGTTAGGTTGGCCAGCCACAGCACGGCCAGGTTTTGTTTACAGCCCTCTCTGATCATGTGGGCGGGGCTAAAGACGCACAGAGAAGTCCATGGTGTTCTCCTTAAGTTGGTAAACAAAGTCGGCCATGACCAATGCTATTTGGAGACTCCAGAGATGGGAAATTGTGGCATCAACAAGTCATCTCCGTGTCATGTTTCTGTTTGGCTCGGCAACTAAACCAGGTGATTTTAATCAGCACAGTGAATGAACCTGGTTCAGTTGCTGAGCAGAACAAAAACACGACATGGAGATGACTTGATGAAGCCACGATTCCCATCTCTGGGAGACTCTGACATGAATCGCCCTCCTACTCTCACTGAGATGCTCCTCACAACAGTCTGTCCACGCGGCTGGAGCAGCAGGTCCCAGCTGCAGTCAGATGTTTACCCCACATCCAGACTGATGTGAATCATGCATGCGGGAGGCCTCCGCTGGCTGAATCTAGCCACCAATCAGAGGCTCCCTCTATAGGTAGACGGGAACTTCAGCCAGTCAATAGTGGGTGAGTTGGGTCGGCTTTGCACGAAGCGGTCCGCTGGAGAGCAGATCCAAAAACCAGTCAGCTGAGCATGGAAACACACAGATTACCCAGATGTGAACGTGCCTTTAGACTCTTGTGGATTATAATCTGTGTTTGGTTGTTGTCAACTTTTCACTGAGACTGGATCCCCCCCCCAGCGTTCCATACTGGGCATGCAGAGACGCCGCTCTACCGCTTCTCTCTCTCTGACGGCCCCCCAGCCACCGCTCCAGCGAGGACCGACCACTGCAGGAACCAGAACACCAACGAGACACACCCCTTCTTGTCCCCACACTTTCTGCAAAGGTGCACACTCTTCTCTGGTGTAGATGGTGAAATGGTTCTTTGCTTCGTTTATTCATGTTATTCAGTTACTTCATTGGTTGTTTTGTGTAGTGAGCACAGTGGTTACCGTGGAAACCAGGGGGGCCCAATGAGGCCCCAAAACATGGTTGTGAACAACTCCAACCAGCAGATGAGCATGGGCATGAACAAGGGCTACGGCCTGGCTGAGCAGGGCAGCATGCTGCAGAGGGGAGTGCCTCCGTACTCCGCCAGCGGACGCATGAATCCCATCAGCCACGTCACTTCTATGCATCAGATGAACAACATGGGTCAGGTGAACCCAAAGAACCCCATGCATCAAATGAACTCTATGAACCAGGTGGGCTCAGTCAGCCAGATGGGTCATCAGGCCATGCAGCATCAGCAGATGGGCCAGTTCCATGGAGGGGGAGCGTATGGGATGGGAATACCCAGCCCATCTCAAGCCGGTCCAGGAATGAATGGTCCTCCTCACAATGTCCTGGGATCACCCAGAGTTCGAGGAAGCCCCAAGACAGGAGCCAGTCCCTTCTCTCCAGGAGGTACAGTCAGAGCTGAAGGTGTACTCTAAAAGCAGATTGATCAGATGTGTCTGACCCCCCCCCCCCCCCTTCTCTCTCTCTTTACTGGTTTGCAGCTTCCCTGAGCTCCACTCAGACTGGGAACTCTGGAGTTGGAGCAACCAGTTTCTCCAGCAGCTCGTTGAACGCACTCCAAGCCATCAGTGAAGGGGTTGGTAATCCGATGCCTGCTCCACTCACATCCCCCCCCAATCACAAGCCTGACAGCTCCCCAAACATCCACTCCACCAACCAGCCATCAGGAGGACCCTGCAAAGCAGGTCTCCCACCTTACTCTGAATCCAAGAGTCCAGGCAGCTTGCTAAGGACTGTCGGGGACCAGCAGCACCCTCGCACCCCCACCAACGAGGCCCCCCCTGACAAACCAGACAGCCAGGTCAACCTTGGCGGCGGAGAGTCTAACCGGCGGCTCTCTGACAAGTACAGCAACAACAGGAAGCTCCTGCAGCTCCTCACATCTCCTACAGATGAGATTTTACCTCCTAACCAAACATTAAGCTCAACAACAACCTCCACTAACGCTAAAGATGGAGCTCCTGGTGTCACCAGCCCGTCCTCCACCACCGTGTCCTCCTCCACAGGTGGGAGTCACAGCGCTGCGTCAAACCAGTCCGTTCAGAAGCACAAGATCCTCCACAGACTGCTACAGAACGAGAACACTCCAGATGAAGTGGCTCGGATCACAGCTGAGGCCACCGGGAAAAGCAGTCTGGAACCAGGACCTCTAGAGCCCGCAGCCTCCGGGGGGGGCAGAGGGTCGGAGTCTAAGAAGGAGCAGCACAGCCCCAAGAAGGAGAAGCCCCATGCCCTCCTTCATTATCTCCTCAATAAAGATGACTCTAAAGACAGCGGTGAAATGAAGACGAAGCAGGAGGATCTGAGTGCCGGAGGGGCCCAGGGGCCAGGGGTCACCATCTCTGACCCCCGCTGCATGGATGGCAAGGTGAGGCTGGAGCAGACAGAACCCTGTGAGTGGTTTTAGAGTAAAACAGCATCTAGATGTGGGTTTTGTGTCACTGTGTGTGTGTGTGTGTGTGTGTGTGTGTGTGTGTGTGTGTGTGTGTGTGTGTGTGTGTGTGTGTGTGTGTGTGTGTGTGTGTGTGTGTGTGTGTGTGCTTCAGACAGAGACACTGGAGACCATTTTGGGTGTCCCAGCGAGCAGCTCTGGTTTCTGCCCTGATCCAGACCTCAGGGCCGGAAAGGAAGTGGGAACCAAACTGGGGAGTTTTCCTGACAGGTCACACGGTCAGTCGGATGAAGAATCACAAAAATGCATGTTCCTGTGAGGAAGTTAGAGGAACAGCATCAGAGGAATGGATGTTCTCCAAAGCTGCTTCTGTGTGTTTCAGACGGGGAGAAAAGCCCGATGCTGCTGGCTCAACGGGCATCCTATCAGAGAGCCCTGTCCGTGGACGCCAAGCCTCTGGGTGGAGACGTGGTTGCGGACGGCTCACTGGCAGCCAGGAGAAGCCTTCCCTGTCCCTCCCTGATCGAGCAGGAGAGCATGGACGCTGCCATCAGATCTGGACCGGTGCCCGGTGGCTTCCCGGGAGGCGTGGGTGTGTGTCCACCGCGGGGAATTCCAGCAATTAACTAACTCCCTACTTCACAGGCTCAGGACCACTGGGCTCAATGGAGAGGATGACCTCAGGTGTTTAAGGGTGCTTTTGTCTTGTTCAGGAGCTGCAGGCAGAGGTGTTCACCAGCGCCTCCCCATGGCAGGCCCAGGCGACTGGGGCATGCTGAGACCTAGCAGCAACCCTGTTCCCAGACCGGGACTTCCAGGTATGGGCCGTTCTGCACAGGTGGGAACGCCCATGATCAGCCGCTCCAACAGTGCACCTGGAAACGGCAGACCTATGCTGCAGCAGCAACAGGACATGGGTAGGTCATGTGATCTACACGTAAACTTCAACCTGAAGAGTTTCTGTTCGGACTTCTTCCTGAAACATCATCTTACAGGTGTTTCCACCTCATCGCTGCTCTGCACAGGTCCTAATGAAGCCATGGGTATGAAGATGTTCAGCGGACACAGACCCCTGCCTCAGTCCCCCCCCTGGCCCGGCTCTCAGACTCACGCTAGCAGGTAACCAACCGTTCAGCAGTGGTATCCTCAACCGGCCTGGTTCAGATGTAAGACACGTGCGATGCTGGATGTGTTGGTGGTTTTGTTAGGGACCAGTTTGTGCATCCTCTGGAGGAGCTGCTGGGGCCTCTGACCAGTACTGACAGTCCTAGTGACGAGCGGGCCCTTCTGGACCAGCTGGACTCGCTGCTCAACACCACTGATGGCTTCGCTCTTCAGGAGATAGACAGAGCCCTGGGAATCCCTGAAATAGTAGGACAGGTGGGTGTGAAACATCACCAGTTTCAGGGCTTATTTTTACCATCACACGTGTGATCATATTGACCTCTGACCCCATCCTTAGGCTGCTTCCCTTTGGTCCCACCAGTCCGACTCTTTTTAGACAGCAGAGTCTTCCTCCTCAATAATAAACTACACTGCAGTCTGCCTGAGTCCGGTTATGTTCTGTGGCTTTAAACAGCAGAACCTTCTGAGAGTTACCAGCAGCTTAGTTCATTTTAAAGATGAATCATGTTTTTAAAACGGCTAAAGAGCTAAAATGTTCCTGTATCAGCAGCAGCAGCTGTTTCTCCTGTTGCAGTTGGTTTATTAACTCTGGTGTTTTCTTCAGACCCAGGGCCCTGAAGGCCCCCAGCAGGTCCAGGAACAAGGCCCGTCTCTGTGCCCTCCATCGGAACCCTTCCCAGGTCTCGACTCTTTGCGCATTGACCAGAAACCCGTGTACAGCCACGGCTACCCAGGGCCCCAGGGGCCTCCCTCCATGGGAATGCAGCCCGGTTATGCTGGGAACACAATTCAGGGCCAGTCTCCTGGAGGCTTCGGTCCCATGGTGAATCAGATGGGTCAGACCGGGGCCTTCCCTGGAGGCATGGGCAACCCTCGTGCAAACGTGCCGAGACTTCGAATGATGAGTGCCACTAAGCAGCTCCGTATGCAGCTGCAGCAGAGACTACAAGGACAGCAGGTGAGCTCACTGACACTCGTCCTGCAAGCGTTAAACATAAAACTGTCACGCTGATGAGTCTCATCATCTCTCTGGCAGCTTCTAAATCAGACACGACAAGGCATAAAGATGGAAAATGCCCCCAGAGCAAACCCCGCCATGCGTCCAGGCATGCAGCCCGGAGCCATGAGCGGTCAGGTATGTACTCCGCTTTCACCTGGAGTTTTCTGCCACTCAGAACCGGATCTGACTGGGGTGTGGCCGAGGGAGATAAAGTCTGTGCGCCGTTCATGAGACCGTTATTAAAAAGCTCAGCAGGAGTTCCTGAGCTTTGCTGTTGGCGTGCTGGGAATCACGTTTGATTGAATGATGTCAGGAAAAGACTTTATGCTGATTTCAGTTCAGTTTTCTTCAAAACTTACAGTATTTTCACGACCATAGGGCGCACCGGGTTATAAGGCGCGGTAGGGCTGGGCGATATGGCAAAAATAGAATATCACGATTTTTCCAATATTTTATCACGATTTCGATTTTATCACGATTTTTTTATCCATGAATAGCATAACTTCAATTGCGTATTAAAGAAGAGAAACATTGAATAAATAAACATTTATTCATATTAGGGATAATCAGCACAGTGCTAACACACTTATATTTTAAACTCACACCAGAGATGATAAAAGCCCTGAGAGAAACAATTACAAAAATCAGTTTTTCTCGTTTTTCAAGTAACTTAACATAAATTAAAATCGTAAACATATTTAAAGTGCAAACATGTCAATTGCAAACGTATTGTGCAAACATTAACTTGTTCAAAATACTATGTAGCTCCCAGTTGCTCATGTAGTGGATAGTTAAGCTCAAATACGGCTCTGATGTGCGGCTGGATCAGAGATCGCTTGTGGTAGCAAAAAACTGCGCATTCTGAATATTTTCTGCAACAAGTCTCTAAATAAAGTAAAATTTTCCAATGCAGAGTGGAGACAACCCATAGAAGCACTGATTTGATCTCATTTCAGAGAAAAATAGAACAGGTTAGATGCACCTAATAAATAAAATTACTAACAAACCCAGGAATCTTTCTTTGCTTCACTGTTCTGGTGCTGAGAATATCACTAATGCGGATCAAAGGAGATACACAGATGAATGCACCTCTTATTATTTGGAAACTACATTTACTGCAGCTGGCAGAGGCAGAGATTTTTTCTATTGATACACGGAGTTTACAGAATCATTTTAAATGTTAATAGGGGAAGACTGCAGGAGGGAGCGGTAAAATACAGAGGTCCCTAACAAAAACAAGAAACTTTATGAGTCTGATGAAACCCGCTGGTTTTCCATCAGGCAGTCATGGGGCAGCTCCATCGACCCAGTGACCGAGCTCAGTTGGTACCGACACCGGCTCGGCAGAGGGTGAACGAGCCGAGGTGACGTCGTGCTCTGCTTAAGAAGCAGTGTTATTTTCCTGCTTCAGAAGAAGCGTCCAACGTGTTTTTACGCTTTCTCCGAGACATGTCACGTCGCTAAGTTGTTAGCGCCGCGCGCTAAGGAAACCCTGCGTTCCTCTTCGGAACGTGTCGCTCAGCCGCGGCGAAGCCATGTTTGTTCACACACAAGTGAAAACAAGCGGGGCACTAATATATTACTATGACTCACTCTGATTGGTTAAGGGTCAAACAAAGGCGTGTCATTCGCCTGAGGTAAGCTCCCTTTTCATTCAGAGGCAGAAATTCAATCGTGATAAAACGGTCTCTCAAAAATGACAGACCGTCAGATGTGTACATCGTAAAACGGTCTAAAATCGGCATATCGCCCAGCCCTAGGGCGCGGGCACGGTAAAACATCTGTGTGGGCTCGGGACTCGGAACATATCAGTGCAATCCAGACATTGTGAAAATCATAAACAGCCAAAAGCATGCTTCACTTTACTGGTCTAGTCCTGGTTCAGGCCTGGTTTAGAGCGCACGTGCACTTCCTCATTGCGTGCGCTGACGGCTCGTGCTCTTCTAATGGGCTCGACACACGGGAGGCAACTTCGCCTCTCCTCCATTCATTTTCAATGAGACATGCGCGACAAAGCGATAATCGCGGGTCTCCCTCCTACTAAAGCCGGGCGTACACCGGGAGTGCTGCAGGAGGACACACAGGGATTTATGGGGGTTGGATGAGGAAAACTAAATAAAGAAAGTAAATCTGTGTTTTGTGATCAGTTTAATTTGACATGAACACGACAAACACGCTTTCTTGACAATCTTTGTGAGTAAAAAAACGTGTAGAAATAAAAACGAACAGCGTGTGTTTTTAGGGAAATAGCGGGTGAGCGGTGTTGATGCAGGATTGCGCATGCGCCGTGAGCGGTTCTGGTACTTTTTGGGTCGCAGCTGCTCGCTGCGCCGCTTCAAGCGCTGATGCGCTGTGTTGAAGTTCAGAATGTGTTTACCGGTAGTTGGTGGATTTAAGCACATAAACTTTCCACATGAACAAAATCATATGTGTTATTAATAGAAAATAGTGTGATTTGAATTGTTTTATTAACCCTCTGGGGTCCATGGGCGCGTATCCGCGTCTTTAGATCAGGTCTGATTTGGGACGCTGTGGCAGCAAGACTCCGTCTCCCTGAGTTTCGGTTTCAGTTCAGCTTTAAAAAGGAGATTATAAACTACATCCCAGTTTTTAAATGTTGTTAATAGGCAACATAAAAGTGGAGTTATACTAAACTAAAAAACGATATTTTTAGACAATCTGATAACTTGTCAAACAGCGGTTTAGTAATCCGTGAGAGGGAATGTGCTTGTGAACGTAAAACCCCACAAAAACATGGGATCCTGTTGCTGTTGGTGGAAGTCTCACATATTCAGCTGATAAAAAGTATCATTATGTAGCTGAGAGAGAGAGAGAGGAAGGCTGCGTGAGTAATGAGATGTGCGCAAAAAGGAGCCGCTTCGGGGGGAAAGGAGTGGCGCGAACGGAGTAACAACAAACAATTAGACAGATATTGACGGTAAACTTCATATTTTGGAGCGATCCGGACAGACATATTGTCTCTGCAGTTTAGTAGGCTTTTTTACGGCCTCTACGGCTGTTTTTGAACTGGAAGCAGAGGAAGCAGACGGAGACTCACAGCTGGAGTCTGAGGCAAACAGCGAGGATGTTGATGATGATGTGGCAGATCCACAGGTCCGTCTTCGCTCACGTCCGCACGTTCATGCCACGCCCCTTGTCTTCTACTACGAACGCGTCTCACAACAACACAATAGGCGAACCGCACCATAGGGAGAAAATTTAAGACTTTTAGGTGTGCCTTATGGTCGTAAAAATACGGCATATCTGAATATTTTTAGCTGTATTCTGTATTTTGTCTTTTCACACACAATCAGTCCTGGTAAAGAGCCTTGCTGAAACACCAACGCCCCCAAAAAGTTAAAAACCTCAAAGTTCAGAGCAGAATATGAAGCCAGAGGCATAAGAGTGCACGCGATGAGCGCTTGGCATCAGAGATACCTCAGAGACGGAGCAGCAGCGAGCTAGCAGAAACGGCGCCTGCTAACGCCAGGAACTGACAGGCGTATGTTTGTATCAGTGTAAATGTTACTGGGTCTTTGATGTTTTAAAATGTTACCCAATCCTGTTTTCACAAGGTCATTTACAGACATGACAGGAAATGACATCATAGCATCAAAACAGTAAAAGCAGTTACTCTAATGATGTAAGGATGAAAACTAAAGTTCTCTTTCTTAACATTCGTTTCGATGTCTCACTATGGGATACGCCCCTCCGCGGATTCCTCAGAAGCACTTATCTCAATACGCCAATCCTGATTGGCCAGTGACCGTGACGTACGCGTCACCTGCTACTATAAGTAGCAAGCGTCCCAACGTACGCACTATTCAATCACCTCTTCTCGCTTCGGTGGTCGCTTATCTCTGAGGTAAGTGAGCTCAACTGTTCACAGACGGAGCCTTTTAATATTCTCTCCGTCGCCGAACGTTAACTTACCGTCCTTCTGTCCTGACCTTCACCATAGGCTCGGGGCATAACGAGCAGCTTCACACTCCAGTGCATCTGTTCGTTCTGTGCTAACACACCAGTTAGCCGACATGGAAGCCGCTCCTCCCACCAGAGGAGTCGACGGCGCAGGAGCTCGCCTCTGTACGTGTGGGAACAAAATCTCAAGCAAAGACCCGCACAGGGTCTGCTCGAGCTGCCTCGGGCTGGAACACGCCCAGCTGGCATTGGAGGTCCCCGGGTCATGTGAGAGCTGTGCTTGCTTCACCATGAAGAGCCTTCGCCGGCGGCTAGCGCGCCAAGCTAGCCTGTCGGGGAAGGACCCTTGCCTGCCGGCCCCTGGGCCACCGCCTGGGGACGCCAGCGAACATGTCCTCCCTGAGCCGGAACCGTGTGCCAAACTCAGCTGGGGCTCACAGCTCGAACTGGCCGGTCCGAGCCACCCCGCCGAGGACGTGTTGGAGTTGGACTACAGAGACGACGAGGACACCTCGGAACTCCTCATTTCAGAGGAGGACGAGGAGGACGACGTCTTTCTCCCCATCGCTCAGGCCTCCATGCCTAGCTTTCCGTCCTCTCCCAGGGATGGAGCGGCTTCTCCGGCCGCCCACCTGGACATGCAGTCAGTCTGCCGACGCGCTGCGACCAGGCTCGACATCCCTTGGCCCACCGTGGTCACTGAGGCTGTCAGATCCCGCTACGAGGGAAAGAAGCTGCCTCAGGCCACGAGGGCGGCAAAGCCCCTCCTTCCCGCCTTCCCGGAGCTTCTCCAAGAAGTGAGGTCCTCCTGGGACAAACACCCGTTCAGCTCCAGGTCTCCTGTCCAAGGAGCTTCCTCGCTGGACTTCGAAGGGATGGAGAAGGCTGGCATGCTTCGCATGCCGTCGATGGAACCGCTGGTTGCAGTCCACCTGCACCCACGGCTCTCGGCGACTTCCTCCAGGCCTCCCGCTCTCCCTGCAAAGGCGGACCGCTTCCAGTCGGCGTTGAACGAGAGGGCGTACAAGGCTGCCGCCATCTCGGTCCGAGCTTTGAACATCTCCTCCATGCTCTCGGCGTACCAAGCCGAGCTCTGTGAGGACATGAATACGAAGCCGGACCCGGAGGTGTGGGAGGAAATCACCGTACTGACCGACATCTGCCTGCGTGTGCAGCGCTGCGCGGTCCAGTCTACGGCTAAAGCTATGGGCATG